CCCCCTCTTCGTCCTTTTCCTCCTTCGCAGCAGCACTCCCCAATTTCCAGAGAGTGGGTGCTTACCGCTTCCTTTAAAAACCTGGATGCTTTGCATTTTTTTTCGTATAGCTAATTGCATTACCTGGACTCTGAGCTTAAGATCCTTGATTGTGTTTTCGTTATCTGCCTCTCGAGCATGCGTTTCAATCAGCTCTTGTTGCAACGCATGAATATGCTCGATCATTGATGTATCATCCGCTTGCGTCCCAAATTCCACCAGTTCCTCGTTCTTCTGAAACATTCATTTTGGTACAAGGTTATTTTATTGGCTACGTAATATGTCGAATTATGTTTATTTTTCAACCCAGAAAATGGAAAGAAAAAAATACATGCATAAAATTTCTCTAGTTAATTGACAGTCATCGTTTATGATACATGTAAAGTATCAGCAAGTTACTAGATGTGTCCAATGTAGGCAAATCAGTTTACAGCTAAGGGATGAAACATAGATTGCTCTCCAGTATTTCTGCGGGTACAAAACCATTATCTCTGGTTTTAATATTTCTTGGACCAGGTCAGGTATGTTCAGTTGCTAATCACTATACCTATACAATATTTGAGCCATTCTTGTGCACGTACTGAAATGGTCATCTCTTTTGCAGCTATTATTCAGTGCTATCCAAAGGTCAGCAGTTCTGTTTGTCCTGTCCACTGCACAATACTTCCAGCGACGGTCACGATCCACACGCCACACTGCACTGAGGCTATCTTATACGGAGTATGTGGTAATCTACGTAGGACTACGACGGTCATTTAAATGGTCAGAATGGTCGCTTACACGGTCACAAAGGAACACTCGGAAATTTTTAAAAATTCAACAACCTTGCAACTCAAATCTCTGATTGTATCGTATGCCTCCTCCAGCCGTCGATGCGCATCCGAGTTGATGTCACGCAATTTGAGTAGTTCATGTGATATGCTCATACAATTCTCCGCTTCTTGTGCCAGATTTACCTGCCCTTTGATCAAGCGATCTGCTAATGCTGAACTTTCCTGCTCCAGATAATCAATTCGCTGCCTTAGTAAGCGATTTTCCGTGCGTAACCGCTAAAGAAAATTTACGTAGGAAAATCTGCATAGGAAAAATTTGCATTAGAAAACTTGAAGATTAAAAAGGCCTAGTATGCCTGGTACTTTTCTGCTGCCTTTCAGTTAACAAATATATACATATTCCGTGCTTCTTTTAAAAAGTAATCCCTTCAAGAGACAAAACGAATGTCACAATCGAACATCAGTATGTTGCCTGGTCACTAGGTGATGTAGCATTGGACAATGCAACTGGAAAAGCTGTCAGCTGCGTAGTTACAGAAACACTATGAACTGCAGCTAACCAAAATATGAATGCATGCCATATCCATAGTCATGTCCCTCAGTCCTGAACTGCAAACTTAAATCTTAACTGGCCACGACTGCTACTTGTCAATCTCAG